CAAAAAACACTGCCTCTGCTCATGGAAGCAGCTGTCTTATTCACTTGGCTGTTATTACTGACTGGTCTAGATGTCTCACATCTGGTAATTATTGGGAATCAGGGAGAAAAAGAGGGAGGAGAGGAATGCAAAAGAGTCCACGAACCTGAAAAGATCCCCATATGCATTTGGTTCATTAAAATTTGCATAATGAAAGAAATTCTTATTGAGCTTGTAATAATAATAGTCTACTCCTATTTCTACTCTTCACAATGTGTTGATCTTCACAAAATGGACTATTTCAGAAACACAGACTTAGTTGACAAATATCATGAGGGAAAAGACACAGGTTTAATATTTATAAACTGAAATTAGCCTCAGATTACACCTTACTTTCTAAACAAGAGGATTTGTACATTGAAAAGATTCAAGATCTCCCCTGGGATCAAATTCTGTATTTAGCGGGAAACTGAGAAATCATTATCTAAGAGTAAATTGAGCAACAAAAGACTGAGGAATGACTCAAAATTCCATGAAAGATGTTATAACAGATGTGAGATGAATAACAGTTATGGCTGAAAACAAAAAGTTAATATCCACCATTAAAACAAACAATAGGACATCGATTAGAAAGGGTAACTCTATGTGTAGTGGAAAACAAATTTATGTTCTTAGTGAGTTCATATAACCCACTTGCAAGTTTATATAACCCACTTGCAAGTTTATATAACCACTTACAAGTTTATATAACCCCTAGAGTATTCTGTAGCTACTGCCAGTTAAGCAACAAAAGGCACAAACTTCCTGAGATTATGTAAGAAAGACCTGAAAAATGGTCACCAGCCCCTGAGATGGGTTGGAAAGACAGACTTAACCATCATTCAGGTACAAGGAAGCTGTCCTTGTAGATTTCAAATGCATCCTTGTCTTTGTTTAATAATTGCTGTAATTCAGTAAATGTGTCCTCTCTTCTCCTAAAGGTTTTTAAGTGTCTCCAAAGATTTGATCCCTTTAAAGAACCAGGGATAACCTGATATGCTTTCTCCAGTGTCAACAAAATCTTACCCAATTTATAAGAGCTGAGAAACTCAGGTTCCAATACACTACTCACTGGCCAAAACAAACTCCATAGGGACTATTTATTCCTCAATGACAGAGCAGTTCCTGTCAGCCTAAAATTTTTGTGAGAACTGGTTTTCCTTCATCAGCTGATCTCAACAGTGAGTACTAACAGAATAGATTCAGAGACACCGTCAATTCTCACCCGCTTTGGAATGAGAAATTACTATCTGTGTTTACCTCTTTTTCTCCCTAATTATCTATGAACAT